CGCATTGATATAAGAGAATAAAACATCCTTCCATTCATCAGAGTAGTTAAGTACAAAAATATTACATGTTGACAACAAAAGTAAATGCCCTATGGGCTTACAGCTTTCCAAGCCAACACTTGGTCACAAAAGAGAGTACTAACTCAAATACACTTTAAGCCCTTGGCTTGAATTTACATGTAATATTCAAATAACAAAATAACCAAAAAGAGTCTTCAGCTCCAAAACCTTCCAAGCTATGTCCTTGGAGGTAGCATATCACCTGAACCTGAAAATGATGTCCCATATAGGGTGAGCCACAGCCCAGTAGAAATATACTAAACTAAATATAAGCAATAACTAAAACAATAGCATTTGATAGATGGTTAACACTTATAAACCAGTTATATCACAATACAGTTCCATGACAATTATGTCCATGTTTCAATTCAATTTTCTTTACTTATACAAACCCGATACATAAACATGGCTCAGAACCTGGCCTACCAATTCAATGAGACTATGGCTCATATTAACACGTTTCCATATTTCACAATTACACATGAGATTTACAACTCATATTCAAACACTTCCATACTTCAAATGATACACATATTTGCTGTATCAACACTTCAATTTAATACACATATTTGCTGTATTAATGGAGTTCATCCCCTATCTTCTCCCAAACAGGTTTGAGAGTTCATCCCCTGTCTTCCCTCAAACCATAGAGTACATCCCCTATCTCCTCTCACACAATACACATATTCCAAGTATATAAACAATTATCATATATAGGAATCAATCAATACATATATTTGATGTATTATTCCAATTGTCATATTCAATGGCATATTCAATGTGATTACTTTCAGTTTTCCTTAATCAACATACAGTGTCTACAACAATCAAGACTATCCTCCACCGAAAATAAATACATTAAACAAATATAATATCAACTTTTACATAGGTAAGTGATAAATTAATCCAACTACACCATTCAATCCCATAACCTCCCAATTTCACAATTTCATATTTTCCAAATTAACTATACCAATTAATTTATCACAATAATTAGGGCATTTTTCCCTAATCCTCAATGTCAACCCTAAGGTCCAATTTCATCGATAATACAACAATAATTCCGTTTCTCAATGTCTTACATAAAACCTCTCTTTTATAAATTACACAATAACCCAACTTTTTCAAAAAATTGCCCAACATCACCAACTACCCAAAATGACTAAAATTAAAGACAAAGCTCATAAGATGGAGTAGGGTATCCCTACCTCGAAATTAGAAGCCCAAAGGAGTAGATGAGGAAAAACCAAAGTGCTCCAAATCCACTATTGTTAAGATTAAAAGGAAGCCCTCAACACCTTCTACCTTTCTTACAAAAATCTTAGGGTAGCAACACACTAAAAATAGATGAAACCCTAGAGAGAAGTTAAGTGTAGAGAGAAAGGGAGCTGAATCTAGGGTTTTGAAATCAAAAGGGATGAAAAAGTCAAGTGTAATCCTGCTGCTGCCTACTGATATAACACAGGCTTGCTCGAGCGAAGGATTGGTCGCTCGAGCGACCAGACACAAAGAACCCTCGCTCGAGCGTAGAAAGCCTCGCTCGAGCCAACAATTCGAAACTTCAGGTCTACAACCCAGAAGCATGCTCGAGCGACAGAATGCTCGCTCGAGCGAAGAAACCCAAAACATACAACTCGCTCGCTCGAGCCAAGAAATGCAACTCTCAGTTCCAGAACCAAACGCAGACGTAAGCTCGAGCGAAGGACTTCTCGCTCGAGCCACAGATACAAAACTCAACTCTCGCTCGAGCGACAAAAGCCTCGCTCAAGCGAAGAACCAAAATTCTAGGTAGCAACCATTTGCTCCCAATCACACCCAACCTGTAACAAACCTGCCCAAAACATCCTATAACTCAAATACAAAGTATTGAAGGACGGAAACAAGATATATACAACAATCAACATCCACGGAACCAAGTCCGAATCACACCAATCAATGGAGGGAAAACCAGGGTCGCTATATTAGAACTCGTGCTTCCATCTTAGAAAATAAACGAAGATGTTTGTTGCAAAATAAATGAACTGCTTATTGACTTTCCTTTTTTTCTTTTTTTTGAGATTTTTGTCAGGCCATTTGTTCTAATTTTATTTACAACTAACACGAGGCAAAAATAATTTAAATAAATTTTATTTTATTTTTAGGATGTTTAAGCACTGGTTTGGCATGATGGGTTGGGGTGGGTTAAGGCTAAAATAATCATAAAAAATAAAATAAGTTTTTTAGCATCAGAATAAAAAATGTCAAATTCAAAATATAATCATTTTATTTTTTCTTTTACAAAAGTGAAAAAAGTCAAAAAATTCATGCCAAACCAAAATTTTTTAACTTCAAATTAAAATAGTCAAAGTCAACTCACATCCCAAACCAAGTAAAAATAAGTTTTAAAAAGGCCATTATTGAGAGGTGGAAGGTTGGTTTTTTCCTGTAGATTATTGCTTTCAAACTATAATAAGAGGTTGTTTGGGAACTTCTTAAAGTTGTATTTTTTTTTTCTTTTTTGAAGTTTTTTTTGTTTTTAGTGACATTTTTTCAAAATTATGTTAATTTTTTATTTTTCAGTTCGTCTCGTGTGGAAAAATCTAAATGTAATTTTTTTAAAAGATCCAAAAAAAATAAAAAGCCAAAATAGTTTACTATTTGATAGGGTTATAAGTTTCTGCTTCCTGGATGGATGGGTCGGACCGGTCCAGGCTCTTCAGACTCTGGCTCAGGGTGATGACTCCGTCAAGTGACCTGCATGCAAGCCCAGAGGGGAACGGGGTAGTCCCCCAGTGAACCCTCCAGTGTGAGAATTAGTAGAGTAAGAGAAAAACTGTGTAGAGAGAGATCGAGAGAGAGAGATAGCTTAACCTTATTCTTGTCCTCCTATCCTTGCTTATATTCTTTAGTTATCAGCGAGGGTGGCCGAGCGGGAGGGGTCGACCGTGAGGCGTGCCGACCGCGAGGGTGGCCGAGCGGGAGGGGTCGACCGTGAGGCGTGCCGACCGCGAGGGTGGCCGAGCGGGAGGGGTCGACCGTGAGGCGTGCCGACCGCGAGGGTGGCCGAGCGGGAGGGGTCGACCGTGAGGCGTGCCGACCGCGAGGGTGGCCGAGCGGGAGGGGTCGACCGTGAGGCGTGCCGACCGCGAGGGTGGCCGAGCGGGAGGGGTCGACCGTGAGGCGTGCCGACCGCGAGGGTGGCCGAGCGGGAGGGGTCGACCGTGAGGCGTGCCGACCGCGAGGGTGGCCGAGCGGGAGGGGTCGACCGTGAGGCGTGCCGACCGCGAGGGTGGCCGAGCGGGAGGGGTCGACCGTGAGGCGTGCCGACCGCGAGGGTGGCCGAGCGGGAGGGGTTGACCGTGAGGCGTGCCGACCGCGAGGGTGGCCGAGCGGGAGGGGTTGACCGTGAGGCGTGCCGACCGCGAGGGTGGCCGAGCGGGAGGGGTTGACCGTGAGGCGTGCCGACCGCGAGGGTGGCCGAGCGGGAGGGGTCGACCGTGAGGCGTGCCGACCGCGAGGGTGGCCGAGCGGGAGGGGTCGTCCGTGAGGCGTGCCAACCAGGACGGCGCGGGGCTCAAAAATGTGCTGATGTGAAAATGGAAAGGACAGGGTAAGGGGAGGGGACAGTGCATCGTGGCCACACACGTGGAAGTATCGTGTGGGGAAATGAAGCGTTGGAGCAGAAAATGAAACGATAGCTCACGGGGGGTTTTGAAAAGGCGGTTTTGGCGGTTGATTTGAAAGGTTTTGAAACGGGCGAAAATTAATGTGGATCCATGGAATACGGGTAAAACCGTAGGTTTTGGGTATAATGCGTTTCACATACCTTTGTACAAAAACTCAAAATATCCAAGTGTTAACTCCTTCACGGCGTGCGACATATCTGTGTAGCATTCTCTCAACTTCCTTGCGTCTGCGTCAGAAGTGTTTTGTGAGCAAGCTCTAGAAATGGCACAAGAAGAAGTAGTTAATGTGAGGGTGGACCCGTTAGGGGATGATGATGGGGAAGAGTTAGCAGCGCAGTATAGGACGGAGGCGTCGACCTTGATATTGGCCCCAAAGCCACTAAACCAGGTGGAGTCGGAGCAGTGGCACACTAAGGCGGACAAATCCACACTCACGGTGGCGGATTTGGAGGCGATTAGGGAGCGGTACCAGATTCCGGCGGAGGTAGATTTACGGTTGCCAACACCAGAGGAAAGGCCGTCTATGGTGAAGCCAGGGGAGTTTTCCCTGTACGAGGAGGCGCTGAAAGGGGGCTGAGGCTACCATTGCCTCAAGTGGTGGTTGACGTGCTAAATCGCCTGGAGGTAGCGCCGGGGCAGTTGATGCCCAATGCGTGGAAGATTCTGATGGCCTGTGCGAGTGCGTGGCCTAAGGCGAATAGAGGGGAGGCCATGACGATCGACGAGTTCTTCTCATGTTACAAAGCGTCGGGGCAGCAAGAGACTTGGGTCACCCTACAGGCGGTGATGGGCAGGGGGTTGGTGGCAGGTCTGCCTACGTCGATCAAGGGGTGGCGGCCACGGTGGTTCTTCGTGTCAGTTAATGGGGGGATGGGGGTGCGCACCATCTGGAAGGTGCCAACTCGGTCGATGGAGTCTAGGTTGGGGGCGATGGCGGAAGAGAGGGTGAAGAGAGTGAAGGAGTGGAAAGAGAGAGAGAAAGCCAGATGGGACGATCTTGTCCAGCCATCTGCACTGTTTGAGGCGGGGCTGGGGCCGCAGCCGAAAGGTGGAGACCTCGACCGGGCGGAGTTGGGAGACCTCGGTCTGGAGGGGTTGGAGGAGAGAAGAAGAGCGCAGGAGGTGGAGGATCGAGCCGTTATGGCCAAGGCCGCGAGGTTGATGGAGGCGCAGAGGGACCAACCGCCTCAACCGATCGCGCGGGAGAGGATCCGACCGCGCCCCAGGCCTTTGGGGAAAAAAGACTTAAGCAGCTTTGAGCCGCGTCCGCTGCCTATGGACCCTGTAAAAGAACAGGCCAGAAAGGAGGTGGAGGCTCTGAAAAAGAAGAAGAAGAAGAAGAGGAGTGCCCCAGAGGAAGTTGCAGAGGAGTCTGGAGCCAAGAGGGCGAAGGTAGCCCCAATGGAGGTGGAGGTCCCTGCAGCAAAGGACGCCCCAGAGGTGGTGGAGATCATCCCAACGGTGGAGGTTGTGGAGATTGCTCCACCAGTGCAAGTGGAGGCTGGGGTGAGTGAGGCGGCGCCGAGCGGAAGGGGACAGGTCCAGCAGAGGCCAGACCCCCAGGAAGGAGGGGATTGTCCGGCGACGACGATTTATCACGCGCGCGCGGTGGCTGGAAGGTTAGAGGGAGAAGGAGGTCCAGCCAGGGCGGGGGCAGACCGCCTGGTGAAGATTGTGGAGGAGGGAGCTCTGCGCGCAGCATCTGGGTATAATGAGGCCGACCTGTTGAGGGGGTTATGCTCCGCCCAAATGGAGGTAACCACCTTGGCGGGGGCTCTTCTTAGGAAGGCTGGGGCTGCCAAGTTGAAGGCTGAGGAGGCCAGGGCCCAGTTGGCCAAATTAAGGAAGGACAGTGCCGACTGGGAGACTGCCTACGCCGATCTTCCAGCAGTCAAGTTGGAACTGGAGGACACACGCCGTAAGGTTGTGTCGCTGGAGTTCCAACTGGTTGGTGAACAGAAAAAGTTGGAAGAGTCTAAGAGGGCATGCGCCGTGGCCGTCGAGCGGCACGAAGAGGCTATGACCAGCAATGAAGAGCTGGTCAGGCAAAAGGATGAAGCGGACTCCAGAATTGGAGATCTGTTGAAAGAGCTGGGGGAGGAGCGCGCCAGGGCAGAGGAGGACAAGGGGAGGCTTCTGAGGGAATGGGAGATGGAGAAGGCGAAGGTGGCGGCGGAGCTGGAGAGTCTAAGGAAGGGGATGGAAGAGGAGAGGGCGACGGCGGCTGCTGAAAGGGTGGCCCTGCAAAGGGAGCTGGACGAGGAGAGGGCGAAGGCGGCGTCTGAAAAGGCGGCCTACCCTGATCTATGCGTCGCAGCAGTGGAGCAATATAAAGGGTCCCCCGAATTCCAGATGGTGGTGGATGCTGCCGTCACCAGGAGTCTGGCTGGTCAAGAGCCTGGGGGGGGTGGGCCCATCAAGGAAGACT